GAAGCTGGCATGTAATACAAATTAATTAAAGGTAGGAAGAAAGAAGAGTATAGAAGGGAGTAATGGAGAAGAGAGCTGAAGAAAGGTGAGTTGGAGAAGAGAGAAAGATTTAGCCTGAGACTTCCAAGACCTCCTCCTTAACCCTGGTTTCTCTTTTAAGACACATGGTCTTACACAAGTCTCTTCTCTTCCAGGGATCCAGCTTCTCCATCCACAAAGTGAAGGGCTAGACCTCTCATACATTTCCTGCTCTGAAAATATGCAGTATATTTTTTCCCTACACCTTCAACCCTGGCTTAGGCCTTGAATGCATCTTAGGCTTGTGTAATCATAGTGGTTTCCTTCTCTTCTTCTTCCCTGTTGACTTACTACCTCTGTGACTTTGGATGAATACCCTATTCCCTGTCAGTAGTTTGGGGATGGTGGCAGTGCCTCTCTCAGAAGGTTGCTAGAGGGATGAACAGGATGCTCCATGAGAATGCCTAGAAGAGTGCTTGACACAAAGTAGGTACCACAGAAGTGTTAGCTGTGAATATTTTTACTTCTGCCTGCTTCCAGTCCTTTGCCAGAGATGTTAAATGTTAACCCCCTCCCAGCAAAGTTCTTCCATCAGGCCCCACCCTTGCTCAAAAGTCTGCAGCCCCTTGGTTAAGTTAGCAGTAGTCCTCATGGTGGACGTGCCAGATGAATTACCAGGGTGTGGGAAGAAAGTACGGTAACTTCTTTTAAATGTTTTTTATCCCATTTTTTTACATTTTCTCTATTTTTTCTTTATGTTTTATGCTGTATATTTTCAATAAGGGCACACACATTTATAATTGTGTATAATACAAGCACATATTTTAATAAACAGATGAAAGCACAAAATTGGTATAATGCTAAACAATGTTTTCCTGCTAGTGGAGAGCAAGTTGAAGCCTCCTGCCCTGGAAGAAGCGCTCCAACCGTAGTGAGCCTTACCTGGCAGACCTGATTCCTCTCTCGGTCTCTGCCCTTGTGACTCTTGTTCACTCTCCTTCCTGCCTTTGTGCCTTCTGATTTCCATGTCATTGCTCATCCCCTCTCCCTGCTCCTGCAGGATCCTCCCTCATTTTCTCATTTTTTTTTAAAAGATTTTATTTATTTATTCAAAAGTCAGAGAGTTACACAGAGAGAAGAGAGGCAGAGAGAGAGAGGTCTTCCATCTGCTGGTTCACTCCCCAATTGGCTGCAATGGCCGGAGCTGCACCGATCTGAAGCCAGGAGCCAGGAGCTTCCTCCAGGTCTCCCATGTGGGTGCAGGGGCCCAAGGACTTGGGCCATCCTCCAGTGCCTTCCCAGGCCACAGCAGAGAGCTGGATTGGAAGAGGAGTAGCTGGGACTAGAACCGGCGCCCATATGGGATGTCGGCCCTCCAGGCCAGGGCGTCAACTTGCTGTGCCACTGCGCCGGCCCCTCATTTTCTCATTTTTGTATCCAGAAGTTCACCTTAACTGCCACTTGTTCCATAAAGACTGCCAGGGCAGTTTTAGCCTGACGTTCTTCCTCCAAGCTCCTTAGATGTTCTTTGTTAGCCGTGCTCTTTGGCCCCTCTTGTTTTCTGTGCTGCATCGAGACCTTTTGCAACGTGTACTCCTTGGATCTGCAGTTACTCTGTGTTAATTCTTTCATGGATGTGCTTTAAATTATATTTCACATGCTGACTTTATTTTGAATTATTTTGTCATTTCTCTCATTTATCATTTATCTTGAGACACATACCCGTATAGTCTTTTTGGATGACATTAATATATCTTTTTTTTTTATCACAGTCATATATAATTCTTCACTCTAAGGAAAAGATTGATTTCTTAAATTTGGGATCTGAATGCCCTCAGATATGACAGCATGCTTCAGCTTGAGGCATTTATCTGCAGTGCATTAATGAACTTTTTTTGAGTGTGGATTTGTTATTTTCTTTTTCTTCAGGTGACATAAAATTCTAATCCATTTTTTGGTCTTTTTCTGTAATCCATGTACTTAATGCCTTTATTTCAGCTTGTATAGTCCTGAGTTCTGCATAGCCTCCTGGGAAGGAGGTTGTTCTGGCAAGGAAAGCTGAATGGTACACAGAGCATATCCACTTAATCTGAGCTTTTCTCGTACTCAAACATTGTACAAGTGGCCGTCTCCCCAGCTAAGTTTCATCAGTTTGCAATAGCAGCTGTGCAATCACTAGAGAGATATTTGGACTTGGAGTCAGAAACCAGGTTTAAATCTTGATTCCACCAGTTGCTGGTTGTTTGAATTTAATAAAGTCATTTAACCTCATCTGTAAAATAAGCTTAATCATGTATATGTCATCGAGTTATTATTAAGATTAATTGAGATAGAGTTTATGAGTGTGCTGGGTACCTGAGAGGTTGTCAATAAATGTTGGTTTCAAAGAGGAAGTGAGAGGGTCTCCTTGTCCTCTGTGAAGCTTCTGCAGGGTGTGTTTTGAGGAGAAACAGCCAGCCAGGTTCAGAGAGTGTATCAAACTTAGGCCTGAGCCTGAGACTGAATATCCAGTTGGCCTGGTTTCTGGACTTGTCTCTCCTCGAACGTCTGTGGCCTCCCAGGGGAGTATGAGGATTAATTAGTTAATCTTTGTAAAGTGCTTTGAAGGTGAAGAGTGCTACGTAAGGGGAATGGTTGAATTGCTTTTGGAGATATAATAATAGTGGCACCATCCACTGGCAGTCTTGCTTGTCTTAGACATCAGTAATCAATAACAAAGTTCTAAGCTGTTCTCCTTGACGTGAAAGACAGGATTCTTTGTGTGATTTGTGATAACACAGCCTTTCTGTAGTCTTACAGATATTAACTTCCTACTTCTTCCCAGCAGAGGAAATGCTAGGGTCATTTTAGAAAAAATCAGTCTCATCTTCTTGTTTCCTGGGAGTCTCCTGCTAAGGCAGTTTGGCTGTCAGTCCTAGGCAGCTCAGACAGAGGGACAGTTTGCCAGTGTTGGATGCTTTGTAGGTCCTGGGCACATGGGCTTTTAAAAATCTAGTCCCGTGGAAGTGAAGGAAGAGTGTTGTGATCATGCAGTGACGTGGACCAGTGTCGTAACCTGTGCAATGGTAGCATGGGCTAGTAGAAAAAAAAATACCTTAGTCATGTGACCTTGGGCAGGTCACTTCTCCCAGCCTTAATTTTCTCACCTGTTAAATGGAGATATAGGCCGGCACCACGGCTCACTTGGCTAATCCTCCGCCTGCGGCGCTGGCACCCCGGGTTCTAGACCCGGTTGGGGTACTGGATTCTGTCCCGGTTGCTCCTCTTCCAGTCTAGCTCTCTGCTGTGGCCCAGGAAGGCAGTGGAGGATGGCCCAAGTGCATGGGCCCTGCACCTGCATGGGAGACCAGGAGGAAGCACCTGGCTCCTGGCTTCAGACCGGCGCAGTGCACCGTAGCGGCCATTTGGGGGGTGAACCAATGGAACGGAAAGGAAGACCTTTCTCTCTGTCTCTCTCTCTCACTGTCTAACTCTGCCTGTCCAAAAACAAACAAACAAACAAACAAAAATGGAGACATAGTAGTTGATCACTGCTGTACTAAATATGGCTTGCAGGAAGGTGGCTTTTACCCTTTCTGCAGAGTGTTGGGGAGTCCAGAAAGCTTTCACAGAACTTGTGGTCCATGTGCTGGACTCTAAGGGTTGCGCCACAGTTTACCAGGTAAGAAGGGCATCCACAGCAAAGAAACAGCATCCACTGAATGATGAAACAGCGCCTTGCAGTGGACCCGCTCCCAGTTGTAATATACCAGGTGCCCTGTGGGCTACACTGACTTTGTTCCCCTTCGAGGAAGCTCAGAAGTCAGATTGCTGTGAACTGCTTTGAATATACCTTAGTGTCTGTAAGCAGGCTGATCCTGAGGACAGCATTCTTGCAGAGCCCTGATTCTCTGTGATATTCTGACATTGCCTCCATGAGTCTATGGATGCTTTCTAGCTGACACTATAAACCATATGTTGAATGTGGGGCCAGATGAAGCTTTGATACCAAACATAGAGTATGTAGTAGATTTGTCTAGAATTTAATATGCATACTTGGTGTTTTGTCTCTTAAGCAAAATTTTTCTTTGTTAAAATAAACATGTATAAAGAATTTATACAGCGCACATGGTTATGCATATTTATTGAAGAGAATCTGTTAATAATCTATGCCTCATCGGATTTTGCATTTCTGTTGAAATAACAAATGTAGCACTTGGTACAACTGAATGAATTTGGTGAATTTTATCTGGTAGAAGAAAGGCCATTTATTCTTTTCCAGACTTCATTTTTCTTCTAGCATCTTCAGCACTGGCTAGCTTCCTGTGAGGGGGCTAGGGGACTGAATACTTTTCTGGCTCCAGAAGATTTTGTCTTTTTTCCACCCCTTCTTACATTCCCTTTCTTCCAGCACACATGGGCATTTGCCTTGGGGCTGTTAGAATTGCTCCTTTGGGTAACAGCCTAGACTCTGAAAGACATGTAGGAGAAAACACGCAAAATTGGCTAATAATTGAGCTCAGAGTAAGACCTTAAGTGTTTATGGCATGGGGAATATCTAGGGGGCAAAAAGGGGCTCTGGATTGAGTCAGGCAAAGGAGTCTGAGAAAAAATATTTGGGCAAAGCACAAGGAGAATGTGAGGAGGGGACAGGGTAGGTAGGCCATAAAGCATGGCTGAAGTTTTATTTGTGGTCATACCCATGTTTACGTCTATTTAAAATGCAAGAGCGTGGGCTTTTGGATTGACCTCTGTTTGGATCTAGCTCTAGTACTCACCACTTGTTTGATTTTGGAGCAAGTTATTTAACTTCTCTGAACTTCAGTTCCCACATCTGTGAACATGAGAGTTCTCATGCTTTATTTACAGGAAGATGGGGAGGCGCCTAGTGCAGAGTGGTTGGTGCTAAAATAAATGTTCCCACTTTCTCTTATAATTCATTGCCTACCAATGAGAACACAACTGTGGAATGTAAACCTAATTCAAATAATGTTTGTTTTTAGAAACTGGTAAGGTGTTTACCTGGGGCCGAGCAGACTATGGTCAACTAGGGAGGAAGTTGGAATCTTACGATTGCTGGAAACCAGAAAATCAGGATCCATCCCTGCCCTGCTCCAGACCATGGAACGGCATACCTTCGTCTCTGCATTGTTTAATGGGAGCGACTGAGGTAGGACTTTGCACAGAGGCGATGGCTCTCTTTTCCTCGTCTTTCAGTGAAGCACTGCTGTGTGCTGGGCATTGTCTTTGGTTACAAGTGACAATCTGAAGGAGCTCATGGTTTAACATGGTAGAAAGGTCAGTTCTCCAGATAACTACACCATAAGGCAGATGGTATGAAACTCATTAAAGAGAGGTTCAAAGTACGGTACTCTGGGTCTACTCTGAAGAATGAGATATGACCTTGGGGTGCAGGGATTGGCTTAGGCTTTGAGAATGACGTGGCTTTGAGCTGTGTCTTGATGGGTCAGACTGGTCAAGCAGTTACAAGGGTGAAGAGGATCTTTCAGTGGGTGCAACGGCTTGAACAGAATCATGAGGGTAGGAATGGGGAGATGTTTTGAGGACCACTGGCAGTTGAGTTTGGAGCTTGGAGTATCCGCAGGGGTAATTATGAGGTAATATCAGAAATGCGTGTGGGACACTGATTGAGGAGGCCTTTTACACTGAGCTAAATGTTTTGCACTTCTGTTTATATTTCCCAGTGTAGAAAACTTTGTAGTTCAGTTGCTTATTCAAGCCCCTTTGGCTCTCTGAAATGTCTTCAATTTCTACATTTAAGGCGAGAGCCTTAATTTCTCCAGGGTATACGCTTCTGTTGCTAAATTTTGTTTTACTACTGTCCTTAGAAAGGAAAAGACTAGGTTTTTGAGAACAATAAGGATGGCCACACAGGAAATGTTCCTCTGAACCCACGTTGACTTAATGAAGGAATTCAGTCTTCATTCAGAGTCTGCCCCCACCCCCCAAAAATTAATAAACCAGTGAGACTTCTGTAATTAGCATCAGACTAATTACAACCCTGTCCATACCTAGAGGGCTCCCCTTCCCCTGGGGCAGGCCTGGCCTCCTCCTTCCGGGTATGTAGGACGGGGTTCAATTTCTGTTTCACATCTCAGCCCTGGTCCTCCTGGGTCCTTTCTTAGTGCTGAGTTGGGACTGTTATTTTTTGTTTTTGCTCTTGTTTTTTCCTCTCTTTGTCTCTTTAATTGAAAAGGTACGAAACAAGGGCTGGTGCTGTGGCCTAGCAGGATAAGCTGTGGCCTGAAGTACTGGCATCCCATATGGATGCCAGTTTGAGTCCTGGCTGCTCCACTTCTGATCCAGCTCCCTGCTAATGGCCTAGGAAATCAGCAGAAGATGGTCCAAGTGCTTGGGTCTCTGCACCCACGTGGGCAACCCAGAAGAAGCTCCTGGCTTCTGGCTTTGGCTTGGCACAGCCCTTGCTGTTCTGGGTCTCCCACGTGGGTTCAGGGGACAAAGGACTTGGGCCATCTTCTACTGCTTTCCCAGGCCATAGCAGAGAGCTGGATTGGAAGTAGAGCATCCGGACTAGAACCGGCGCCCATATGGGATGCCAGCACTTTAGGCCAGGGTGATAACCTGCTGAGCCACAGCGCCGGCCCCAGCATTCATAATCTTATCACCCTAACATAACCACGTTATTTTTTGCATATACACATGTACAATTACAAAATTATAGTGATAGCATTTATGATGTTTTATATTCAGTCTTCATTTATTGTATCACAGATTCTTATTTCTTGGTAGTCTTTAAAATGATCACTTAAAATGACTATGTTGAGTTACATGATGAGAAAGTTCTAGGATTTTCAAACTGTTCTTTGAATGTTGGACCATCGTTTTCTCTTTTGTTTTCTTTGTCGGTCACAATTGTGACCCCTGCTGTAAGCCCCTCATGAGCTGTTTCCTTACCACGTGTTCTTTTGGATGACATTAGAAGGGCAGAGGCTATGAGCATCTTTATGACTTTTTCTCTGTTTCTTTAGATTCTCTCAGAGGAAGTTGACTCTACCAGCAGTGAATGAACCAATGTAGTATTTAAAAGAGTATTGTCTGCTTAGCGAGTTAAGCTTTTGACAGCCTGATACATAACGCTTTATATGCTTTAGCTTTTTATTGTCTTTCTTGGGTCATTTTAGACTTTGTGGCTGGTTGGCATAGTAGAGGAGGCACAGAAACTTTAAATAGAGTCACTGATTCTGTTGGCAAGATGAGAGCAATAATGATATTGGTGAGGATAACGTGCAAAGTGCGGGGCATCCTGTGGACACCCAGGAACTGCTGCTTCCTCTCTTCTTCCCCTTTGGGGCCTTTTAATGTCCTGTGATGTCCACAATTTGCAGCTTGGTGACAAACATGTCCAGTGCAAACATGTGGCCCAAGAGCCTGACTTAGGGGAGCAAAGGGAGGAGTGGACTTGAATCTTAAGCCCCTTGGCAGCTTCATGGCAGGGCTGCCTCCCTTCTCCGCTGAGTCTCTGGGTATTTGGTCTTTCTACAGATTTAGATTCCGTGCTGTTACCCACTGGTCATCTGGGTGTGGGAGTTCTCTCTACCTGTTGATGTCCAAATCTGGCCTGTCAGGCATCTATGAGGGTGCTTTACAAAGTTTGTGGAAAATGAAATTAAAGACACATTCATTCTAGTACAAAAATTTTTTGAAAAATTTGTACCAAATGAATATCAGGGGGTCCTCAAAAAGTTCATGGAAAATGTGTTTTATGTAAAAACTATGCATGGATTTCAAACTGGGTTTGAGGCTTGAATTAAAGTACTTGAAAAGGCTCACATACTTTCTCTGTGTATGAGGTAAAATTGAAACTCATTTTTAAAAAGATTTATTTATTTGAAAGTTAGAATTACAGAGAGAGGGAGAGGCCGAGAGAGAGATCTTCCATTTGTTGGTTCACTTCTCAAGTGGCTGCAACAGCCAGGGCTGGGCCAGGTCAAAACTAGGAGCCAGGAGTATCATCTGGGTCTCTCATGTGGGTGGCAGGAGCCCAAGCACTTGGACCATCTTCTATTGCTTTCCTAGGCACATTAGCAGGGAGCTGGATTGGAAGTGGAGTATCCAGGACACAAACTGGCACCCACATGGGATGCTGGTGTTGCAGACAATGGCTTAACCCACTGTGCTACAACACTAGTCTGAGGTTTAATTTTCCATGTCCTTTTTCATATATACACTTTCCTAGATGAGAAAAATTTTTAAAAAGATTTATTTTATTTATTTGAAAGGCAGAGTTACAGAGAGAGAGGGAGGGAGAGGGATAGGGAGAGGGAGAGAAGTTGCATTCCTTGGTTCACTCCCCAAATGACTGCAACGTCCAGGGATGGGCCAGGCCAAAGCCAGGGCCAGGTGCTTCATCCAGATCCCCCACATAGGTGCAGGGGCCCAAGGACTTGGGCATCTTCCACTGCTTTCCCAGAAGCATTAGCAGGGAGTGGGATGGGAAGTGGAACAGCTGGGACACAAAGCAGCACCCATATGGGAATTGGCATTGCAGGAGGTGGTTTAACCCCTCTGCCACAATGCCGGCCCTAGATGAAAATTTTTGAAGGCTGGAGTCAGGGTCTGTCAATCCCTGAGAACAGCCATGTTTGTCTTCTGAGCCATGTGTCACCTCTGTTCTGATAGATACTTTTTCAAGATTTTAAACCTGGAAGGTATCGTTTTAGTGTTCTTATGGTAGTGAAGACATGTATTATCAGCTTCCTTTAGATGCTAGGCCACCCTGGTCACTCCTGAAGATTCTAGGGATAGCACAGTGTTCAGGATTAATCCCTTCCTGCGTGTGTCAGGACAGGGTGTGTGTAAACAACTTTGCTCCATGACAGGAAACGTGTACCACAGCAGCTTTTTCTCTTTCTAAGCCCAGGTGAGGCTGCTACTTGCACATTTCCTGTTGAATGTTTATTCTAACGTCCACCAAAGGTGAAAGCCTGCATTTTGCAGTTGGGCAGTAGTGCTTGTGTTCATTTCGTGGGTATACTTGGGGGTCCTCAAGATTCTGAAACAGCAGGGATTGGCACCAGGGATGTTAATAGAACCATCAGGAGACCTGTTTGATTTAAGGTAGATAGCCTTTGAAAGGACAAGAAAGAACTAGAATGGGAGTTAGAAGAGCTGGCCTCTAGCTTGGGTTCTGCCATTACAAAGTGAGTTTGGTTATCTCCCCCCACCCCCCCTTCCTCCTGGGTTCTTAGTTGCCCTGTATGTGGATTGGGGATGTTAGTCCAGATGATTCCTAATTTTTTTTTTTTTTTTTTTTTTACATTTAAGGGTCTCTGCCATCTCTAATTCTTATTTCATAGACATAATCACTACTTAAATTTTCAAGGGCCTCCTGCTTTTGGAGCTCCTCAGTTTCATAGCCAAGCTTACTAATCCTAGCTGCTAACTCAACTTTGTCAGCCCTGGGAATGTTAACTAGTCTAGAAGGTCCAGGCTTCAGTAACACTTCAACCTTGCTTTGGCTCTTTGGCTCTATTCTCTGCTCATATTTCTTGTCCTCAAACTCTCCTTTTCCAGTTAGTTTTGGGACTTGGTACAGTGTCCCTGCTCCGTAGTCCCTGAACTTCAGAAGCTGCCCTGACTCACTCTTCAATTCTCTGGTCTCTTCGGAACTTGCAGTCTGGTGGTCACCCTCATTCCTGTGGCTGTGTCCTCATTGTTAGGGACAGACCTGGGGGATACTGCCTTCTTGGATTCATTGCCCTCCACCCGCTCCACTGGCTCTGTGAGTTTGCTGTCCCACCTTTTCTGCTTTCCTGGGTCTCTCTGATGTTTACCTCCTTCTTGATTTTGAGCTCAACCCCATAAACATTGGTTGACACTTGCCATGTGCCAGTGTTGGCTGCATAGAGGTGGTAGGTAGGTAGGTAGCTACAGAGATTAAAAAAGTATGTGAACTTCCAGGTATGTAAGTGAAAAATGTTATCAGAGTTAGGTGCAAAAGGCCAAGTGGGCAGTGGAGATGAAATGATTAATTCCGAAAACACTAACAAAAAGAAATGGTATTTGGACTAGGTTCTTCATAGTGAGGAGTTCAGCAAAGATAGAAAGACATTCCTGCGGCTGGTGCTGTGATGTAGCCGGTAAGGCCGCCACCAGCAGTGCTGGCATCCCATATGGGTACCAGTTCAG